CAGCGATGTGTAGAAGCATATCTGAAAGCATTCCCCTTAAGATTCAGATGAAAATCCAGTTGTCGAATTCTGCTGTTCTCGCAGTCGTAGTCGCATTCGCGATGACAGTCGCAGCGGCAACGGCAGTCGCAGTCACAGCCTCAGCCTCAGCCTGCCTCCTCCTCCTCCTCCTCCTCTTTCTCCTGCTCCTCCTCCTCCTCCTCCTCCTCTTCCTCCTGCTCGTCCTCGTTCTCGTCCTCCTCGTCTTGCTCGTCCTCCTCCTCCTGGTGTTCTCTCCTCCTCCTCCTCCTCCTCCTCCTCCTCCTCCTCCTGGTGGTCCTCGTTCTCCTCCTCCTGGTGCTCTCCCCCCCCCTCCTCCTCCTCGTCCTCCTCCTCCTCCTCCTCCTCCTCGTCCTCCTCCTCCTCTTCCTCCTCCTCCTCCTCCTCCTCCTCCTCCTCCTCCTGGTAGTCCTCCCCCTCCCCTCCTCCTCCTCCTCCTCCTCTTCCTGGTCGTCCTCGTTCTCGTCCTCCTCGTCTTGCTCGTCCTCCTCCTCCTGGTGTTCTCTCCTCCTCCTCCTCCTCCTCCTCCTCCTCCTCCTCCTGGTGGTCCTCGTTCTCCTCCTCCTGGTACTCTCCCCCCCCCTCCTCCTCCTCCTCCTCGTCCTCGTCCTCCTCCTCCTCCTCCTCCTCTTCCTCCTCCTCCTCCTCCTCCTCCTCCTCCTGGTACTCCTCCCCCTCCCCTCCTCCTCCTCCTCCTCCTCTTCCTGGTCGTCCTCCTCCTCCTGGTCGTCCTCCTCCTCCTGCTCGTCCTCCTCCTCCTCCTGCTCGTCCTTCTTCTCCTGCTCCCTGCTCCTCGTCCTGCTCCTGCTCGTCCTCGTCCTCCTGGTCTTGCTCGTCCTCCTCCTCGTCGTGCTCTTGCCCCTGCTGAAAATGTGGCCCAGGAATGGAGTTCTGGGAAGTCGAAGAGCACGAAGTTGCCTACAGTTGGCTCCGGGCATTCAAAATGTGGCCCGGGAATGGAGTTCTGGGAACTCGAAGAGCACGAAGTGGCCTACAGTTGGCTCCGGGCATTCAAAATGTGGCCCGGGAATGGAGTTCTGGGAACTCGAAGAGCACGAAGTGGCCTACAGTTGGCTCCGGGCATTCAAAATGTGGCCCGGGAATGGAGTTCTGGGAACTCGAAGACCACGAAGTGGCCTACAGTTGGCTCCGGGCATTCAAAATGTGGCCCGGGAATGGAGTTCTGGGAACTCGAAGAGCACGAAGTGTGTGACTGTTGCATCCGGTTATTCAGAATGAGCCTGGGAATGGAGTTCTGGGAACTCGAAGAGCACGAAGTGTGTGACTGTTGGTGAAAAACGAGGTGGACTCAACCCGCCCGGCAACTCCCAACACCTGCCCGGACCCCCCTGTGGAGTGATCTGTGAGCTCTTTTTAGCCCACTAGAAACCTATCAGTCTTCGCTGTTAGGTAACAAGCTTATATATACATATATATATGTATAGATCAATAATACACTGTACAATGTATAAACTATTAGTTGTGTATATATGTATTAAAACACATATACAGCTATATTATATATATATATCTGTATATCTAATATAGATACATAAACACATACATATGCATATATGTAAATAAAGCCAAAACAAGCTCGGGACTATTTCTTGCGTGTTCTGGAGCATGTTTTGAATGGTTGTTTGTTATCTTGGGTTTTCGTCCAAGATCTGTCTGTAGGGGGACACGCCGACCTAATTTTAATTCAGCGTCTCCACTGAGAGGCCTCCCGGGTGGGGTCAGAGCAAGTGGGGTCGGAAGATCGCGCCGGATCGCCGATGCGTAGGCGACGTCGGCGATGCATCGGCGCCGTGGGCGTCGAGAAAATCGGACCCCACGCCGAGCCGCATCGCCGAGGCATCGGCAATGCAGCGCGAGTCTCCGACCCTATCTGTTCGGACCCCGTCTGGGGGGCCAACAGCACTGCAGATGGACGATCAACGCGCGTTGCCTTCCGTCGGAGCCGCTCTCGACGTCCAGACTCCCCGCGAATGAAGGCCACGGCGAGCGCGGCACGCGGCAGGGCGCGGCAGCGACGCGAGATGGCGGAGACAGGGGGCAGCGGGCCAGGGACGCGGAGCGGGAGGGGCGCGGGGGGCAGAACGAAGTGGGGGAGGGGCACGGGGAGGGAGCTCTCAGTGAGCGCCCGAGTGTCGCCACAAAGAGATCTGGGCATGAGAGCAGCGGAACCCGAGCTTTGTCCGCCAGAAGCGGTTCATGATGGAGAGTCGGTCCCAGGGAGGAGCCAGGGCGCGAGGAGAGGGGGCTCTCCGTCCCTCGTCCTCCCTCTCGGGCAACCACAGGTGAACCCCTACCCCTGCGGGTCTTCTGAAACGCCAGCTGGGGTTCAGAACTGGAAGGATGCCTGCAGCCAGATGAACCCCAGCGGGGGTGTCCAATACCCCAGCGTCGATTGGAACCCGCACGGGTAGGGTTCGGCCAATGGCCGCAGACCTCTCCCTCCCGCAAGGAGGTTCGAGGAGCGAGGGTCGAACTTCGAGGACCCAGGCTTTGGACGTTTCGCAACGTGCAGCTCCTCTTCGCCGCAGCTGGATCCGCCCCGAGAGTCTGGCCAGACTGCTCTGGTACAAGTCTGGGTGCCGATGCTTTACTCCCGCAACCTAGACACCATCGCATCGCGGAAAAAATACGTTTGAAGATGTTTCGCAATTGTCGGCCACTGGGGGCTGGTTCAGAGACCAAGGACCGCAAGGAAACATCTCAGGATACAAAACCAGCCCCGAAGAGGGGGTCAGGGCCTCTGGGGGTTCACATTGCACACAAACCGCATACAACAACATAAGGAACATGAAATTGATCCTGTTCCTCCTCTTCCTCCTCTTCCTCCTCCCTCTCCTCCTTCTCATCCCGCCTGCTTATCCTCCCTCCTCCTTCGCCTCGTGTTCCTCCTCATGCTTCTCCTCCTCCTCCTCCTCCTCCACCTCGTCCTCCTCCTCCTCCTCCTCCTCCTCCTCCTCCTCCTCCTCCTCCTCCTCCTCCTCCTCCTCCTCCTCCTCCGTCTCCTCCTTCTCATCCCGCCTGCTTATCCTCCCTCCTCCTTCGCCTCGTGTTCCTCCTCCTCCTCCTCCTCCTCCTCCTCCCGATCCTCCTCATCCACTCCTTCCCTGTCACACCCCGAAGCTGGTCGACAGGGCGGACCGGGCGTTCCGCCTGAGACTTCCCAACCATTCATGATCCTGAAGCTCATTGCCTGCTACAGCTTCACGGATGGAGGGCGGGCCGTTTTCAGAACGTGGCTCTCGCCTCGGCGCTGTGCACATCCGTTGTGTTTTTAGCAAGAGTTCGACGGATGGAGGGCGGGTCGGTTTCAAAGCGTGGCTCTCACCTTAGCGCCGCGCACATCCGTCTTTTTACAAGAGCTTGACGGATGGAGGGCGGGTCGATTTCAACGTGTGACTCTCGCCTCAGCCCCGCGCACATTCGTTTTCCACAGTTGCAAGAGGTACACGGATGGAGAGCGGTTCCTTTGCAAAACGTGGCTCCCGCGCCGCGCACATCCGTTTTAAGACTTCGCGGCAGTTTCAAGGATTCGCATGGTTAGCGTTCCAGAAATGATGTTTTGGCACGGTGTCGGATTGTCAGGGCGCAACGATTACGTTGACTCGTGGTGTGGACGTCCCAGGAATGTTCTGGCACGATTCAAGATCGTCAAGACGCAACAGTGGCGGTGATCCGCGGCGTTGCGATAACATGGATGGGGTTTTGGCACAGTTCAAGTTGTTCAAACGGTTGTCTTCCAACGGGGTACTTCCTTCAGTGCTGATGAATCCTTCTGTGGGGCTAATGAAGAGAAACTTGGAGAGAGGGAGTATTGCAATATCGTTGATGAGTCTTGGGCTTACACTGGTCCTCCTCCTCGTCCTCCTCCTCCTCTTGCTCCCTGCCCTCCTCCTCCTCGTCCTCATCATCCTCCTCCCTGATTCCTCTTCCGTCCTCCTCCTCCCTCTTCTTAGTTCCTCTCCCTCCTCCTCCTCCTCCTCCTCCTCCTCCTCCTCCTCCTCATCCTCCACCAAGAGGAGGGGAAGGGCAGGTTTCGATCGTCACGTCGGATGCTGTTTTTGAAGCTCCCCGCAACCTTTCTTACGAACTGCAAGCAGACGTTAATCGGCCGACTCCTCCAAGAGTCCGTCCTGGCAAGGCGTCGTCCCCGAGCGGCTCTTGACGGCCCCTGGGCCCGAAACCTACCTCCAGGGGCCCGACCGAAAGAAAGCGTCCACAAGAAACCCAACCCTGAGACCCCGGGACGTAAATTTATTTTTGGTGTGGGAACGTCACGCTTTCCATTGCAAAACCCTCGAAACCCAAGAAACCCAGGGCACCCTAAAGGCAAGCAGGGTTCTTGGCATGGGCCTCCACTGGGGTACCTCCAGGGGCCGAAGATGCTCAAAAAGCTCTTTGGACCTCATCCCTCAACCTCCGACGTTGTCACTGTGCTTACAGCATGGACCCTCGGAGGTGTCGAACCGTTCTCTGGGAACAGTCTTTCGTCCCGAGTCGCTGTTTGACGGTCCCAGGGACTGGTCAGGGCCCCTGGAGACGAAAACTGTGGAAAACCTCCCTTTGGAAATTTTCCGCAACGCGAGAAGGTCTGGGACCACCTCCTCAATCCTTCCTCCTCTCTCCTCCTCCTCCTTCTCCGCCTCCTCCTCCTCCTCCTCCTTCTTCCTCCTCCTCCTCCTCCTGATCCTCCCTCCCTCCCTCCCTCCCTCCAACCCTCCCGCCCTCCCTCCCTCCCTCCCTCATCCTAGCGAAGACATAGGGGCAGCTCAAGCGGTGCAGAACTTGTTCTTAGAGTTATATACGCTTCTGGTGAACGCACAGATTTCGGGCAACCTTACAAAACTCTGCTTTGACTGCAGCGCAAACGCAACGCACGGGCTCAAGTCTAACTCTGCTCCGGCAGCGGAGCGTAACCCCCAGCGCGCGCGCGGATCCGCCAGGCGAGCCATCGCCGGCGCCACAGACTTCGCGAGGCGGATTCTCGCGGACCACGTGCTGATCACCGGCACGCACCTGGATACCCTCAGGGCCATCATGGGCTTCTGCACGACCGCGCTGGACACCAGCGACCGCCGGGACAGCGAATATCAGGCACTCGAGTTTTAGATCCGGCGCCTTCGAGATTGCTGCCCTGACTTGTCCTGTATACCACCTTTCTTCGACAACATCCTGAAGTTGACTTCATTCCCACACCTGGTCAAACAGACGGATACCCGATTGGAGATATCAAGACGACATCTGGTTACTCACGGACGTCCGATTATCACGATAATGTTGGTACCATGGCAAATCTGATGGATCTGGTTCTCATGATTTGGAGGAATCGACCCGCAACTCGCCTCCCGGTTGGAAGCCGGGAATCAGCAAATATTCGGCAAGGAAGTACTTGACAAACCTCAGCCCTTGGTGGAGACCACGTAGTGAGCCAGACGAATCAGTTGCCGAACTATTCGTTCTTCGCAGAATTCACGATGGAGAGAGGAAACAAGAAGGCTTACAATCCTTAGAGATGAATACTCATACACTGGAGAAAATTCTTTTGCTTTAACAGCAGTACCTTCAGACCCAGTGACGGGAACACCCGGCGAGGCATCAGGGCTGTCCCAATATCAGCCATCGTTGACTCCAAATAGATTAGACGACTCGAATCAAGGAATCAAAGGAATCAAGCATGCTTGGAATCCGCGACTCGGCAAGCAGGCAAGCGTGCAAGCAAGCGCGCAAGCAAGCAAGCAAGCAAGCAACTAAGCAAGCGTGCAAGCGCGCACGTAAGCAAGCAAGCAAGCAAGCAAACAAGCAAGCAAGCAAGCAGGCATAGGCTAAGCGTAGGCATAGCAGTTAGGGGAGACATAGGCATAGGCATAGCCATAGGAATTAGGGGGGGATAGGAATTAGGGGGGGAGGGACAACGGACCAATTAGTAGGGTGTGAGCTAGGACTCCAAGAGGGCAACCCTATTTGGAGAATTCACGAAACGGATATCTAATGAATGTGGACTTCATGAGCAAGATAGCACCACAATTCACCTCGACAAGTTGTTCGACTTCAGAAGGGGCCAGAAAGGCCTGACACGGTTCATTGCGGCCATCGAGATGGCGTACGACGAGGCAAGCAAGACCGCCAGCCTGGAGCTCAACGCTGTTGGTCGCTCGCACGTTTATCATCGCGATACGAACTACCTCAAAGAAAGATCGAGAACATCAAACTGAAAGTGGATGGAGACCTTAACAAGTACGGAGAAATCAAGGGCCTCCCGAGTCGAATGGCTAAAGCAGACCAAGCTTGAGGTGGACACCAGGAAGATTGCTACGGAGAAGGCGAATGCAACGACTACTGGGATAAGTACGCCTGGAGTAATCAAGCTTGGGACAGTTCCTGGACAGATAATGACTGGCCTGGTGGATATTGGCAAATCAGTGACACCTGGAGTCAACAAGACAGAGATTATGGGTTTGAGGAAGATGACACCTCCGACCTTGGCACGTACAACGGCAAGAGTAGTGGAGAGGGGAAGAGCAGGAACGGAGGTCGTGGAGGTTGCAGCAAATGCGGATCAGAATGGCATCCTACTCCAAACTGCCCTGCTAAGGACGACAAAGACAAGAACAAAGGCAAAGGCAAGCATAAAGACAAATTAGATAGCTCGGAGCAGGAAGACAAAGGCAAGGACAACAGCCAGAGTAAAGGCAAGACGGGCAAGAAAAGATACCATAAAGGAATTTTCGAAACAAAGGCAGGAACAACCACTACGACGAGGACTGTGACAGTGGAGATGGCAGCGACTGGCAGTATGACAGCTACACGGTGTTTGGAGCTTTCCCGAGGGTTCGCGAAGGTCCTGAAGACAATCATCAGGGATATACCGGGCCCGACCTCCACTCCTGGTGCGACGGCGAGAGTGCACCACCACCTCGTCTAGTATCTGTACAGCCTCAGGCAGCCTCACCCTCGACATGAGTACCGACAAGATCTTGGAAACGAGCCGGCAGCCCGTCCACAGACTCACCAGCACCTTCGACACCACCATCGGCCAACAGGTGGAGGAGACCAGCCGCCAGCACTACAGGGGCACCGAGGACGACCTCAACGGCAAGAGCGATCGACGAGAAACCGATTAGCAATGTACCGAGCTCGAGTCGTGGAATAGACCTCGGCACAACCGGACATCTTCACGGCAATCGGCAACACAGACTATCACAAGGCATCGTTTCTGGAGGGACGGAGTTTGTCGTGACATCGCTGTATCCGACGGACGCCCAGACAGGAACAGTCAACACAGTACGAAGCGGAAAAGGCATATGGACTGTTGTGCGATCCAGGAGCGGCCTCAGGCGGCATGGGCACCGACACACTGCGCGAAGACTTTGAAGACGTTCCCGAGCCGTTGGGCATTTCTTACGACCGGATGCCCACGACCGCCAAGTTCCCACGGATCGGCGGATTTCCTGCCCCAAGGTATCGGAAAGTCAAAGACACCTCTGGGCATCCCTGTCCTGGAAAACGCGCGAGCTTCACGGGAGGTCTGAATTGGTGGGCATGGATCATGTTGCCCAGGCGTGCTCCCACTGAAGCCATCGATTAACTTCGGGGCTTCAGTGTTTCCTGGAGTTCTACACTACATGGGTGGGAAACTGTCAGTTTTCACAGTTGGCGAGTCTGGCAAACATTGCAAGACACCGACCTAAACACGACTTGTCTCCACGGACTCGCAGCACTATATGCTGCCAATCGACAATTGCAACCATCCTGAGGAGACCGACCAGCGACACCTGCACAGGGAATTCATGAGGAACCTGAGGGACTTTCTCCGGTGGGACAAGCACTTCCAGCACGATAACAAGAACGACGAGATGGAGGAAGTGGGGACCACGATGAACATTCACACAACGCGAACCAAAAGCAAAAGTGCTGAAGGACTTCGCGAACCAGAAGCGCAGCCCATGGAAACACAAACTGGAGCGAACATATTTGAGCCACTACAGCAACAGGTATGTACGCTTCAACAACAAGTACAGGATCTCAAGACACGACCATCCCCGATATCAGCGGCTACTAGCTACTTGGTGACGGACGGCAACTCATCCCAGGAGAATACGACACAACGACACAAGTTTCGAGACTGATGACCGAGACAGTTGCACTACCTCTGGCACCCACCTTCTCGACCAACAAGCGGATGCCGCTGAAGTACAAGACGACCCGACCTCAGTCCTATTACAAGACACGGAGCAGCTCCAAGTCGAAGAGATATTCCGTAGGCGCCTTTCCTTCCACGCTGGACGAACACGATCAAAAAAAGATTGCGAAAACCTACATAAGAATTCCTTAGAACATTGACTCCAAGACCGGCCTGCCAATCATTACCCCGGACAACATCACGGCATTCATTCAAGGCATGACGAAGGCAGGCGTGGTGGAGCAGGGACCCATGTCAGGCAGTCTATCGACTTGGGGCCATCGGTTGGAAATGATCATGGGGTTCCTACAGATCTCAGAAATGGCTGGGATGTACGATCAAAGGACCATCAGCAGTTGATTGAAGCTTTTCAGAGCACTTCCCGAATCATAGCTCAATTTTCTTCACCAGAATGCACGTCTTGGTAAGGAGCAAGCCAGACAGCCGATCCAGAAAAAATAAAGTTGAATTCGGAAGCGGGGCTCACTAATGCTAGCTTGGACCAACGAACATTGTGTCAAAGCACACGAACAACGCAACGACTTCCTCATCGAGAAACCTGCAAGCAGCTCTATATGGACGGACGCACCGCTTGGCAAAATGTACGACATGGAGCAAGTCTACGAGAACGTCACGGACTAGTGCAGACGCGGATGCATGGACGAGGAAGGAGCACCAATCAATCAAGAAGCGGGCAACATATCTTGGCAGCCTAAGGATCAAGAGACCTGCTCCACTTTGTCAGTGCACCAAGGCTCACTCTTGGCTGACGGGCCAATATGAGGGAACTTGTCGGACGGCACGCTCGCACATTTGTCCAGATCGATTTTGCCAACAGCTGCTTCGAGACGTTCATCGGCGCATCGTCGATTGCGACAGGTCTCCCCGGGAACTACCATGAGCATGCGAAACATGCAGGCAGAGCCATGAGGCAGACACGCCACAAACGCGACAAAAGGCTGCAGGTTCGATCCAGCGCGAAATCCACCCAAGGAACCAGTACCAGCCCCACCACCAGGACTGGAACCTCCAGAGCCACCAGCTGCAATCGTTCCTGAAGATCAGCCAGCGCGGGAGGAACCTAGACAAGAACCACGTGAGGCCAGCAGCCCACGAACGGCGAAGAATCCAAGACCTGGCACCCCAACAAGCAAAGGGGTCCGACGTCATCATGGAGCCTCAAACGCAAGCGCAGAACAAAGAACAAGGGGGCGAGACCACGGACCTCACTGACAAGCCCAGCGTCTCCAAGAAAGACCCGAAGAACCTGATCATTATCAGACCCAATTTCGACCTGGAAAGGCTCAAGGCACAGTTGTAGGAGCGCTCGTCAGAACAATGAAGCTGTGCTCTTTTCCTCGGCTTCCATTTGAAAACTTGGCGACACAGCAGTGGTGATGATTCAGCTACTGAAGAATCTGGGCACCGGCACGGACATCCAAAAGCTATGTTGGCGAGTACCAGCAGGACGTTGCGACGGATGCAAAAGTACGGCACTACCAGTTGCTAAACCGGCAGTACGAACAAGCATCACATCATTCTTCCTCGCGGGAGTTCGAGGTTAGTCATTGATACTATCGGACGAGGTTGGCTACTACTCAGAGACGGAGAGATTCACTTCAATGCTTCGGCACGGATGACGGACAAAACAGCTGCAGCGTTGTTGCTCACACACAGAGGCGGTGCCCAAAGAAACAGCCGGTCTCACGCAACATTTCCGCGGCACGAGCTCGGGGAAACGGGCCGGTTTTAAAGCAACTCCTCGGCGCGTCAGCGCGCAACGGAAGCGTCCCGAAATTCGGCGCGCAACTGCGAGCGAAGGCTGACGAGAAGAACGAGGAGGAGGAGGAAGAGGAGGAGGGGAGAAAGAATGGAGGAGAGAGGGAGAGCAGGCCCCGCTGGTCATCGCCCGACT